ATACATACTGACTTTATAATTAAATTGTTTATACATTTTTGTGACATTCTAGATTTGCAAACTTTATGCAACTCGGACTTCTGTTTTTAATGCAATTCGTTGGATTTTCTTTTGTTTTGCAGGCTTATATTGTGCAAAGAAACTTTTGTATGTTTTGCAAAACGCCCCTTCCAAATGTACCTTGCTTTAACCAATAGCCGCCCGGCCAATAGCCGATTGGCGGCCGGGAAAAGGCTGTAGATTTCCGGGTGGACGCCATATGGCGTCCTCCCGCACATGCCTGCAGAGCCGCGCAGCGGCACGATCTGTCACCGGCCGTGTACCTCGGACACAGCCGATGACAGATCTGAGTACCGACCCCCCCGTTGCTGGTACCATGTGACCTGCTGTGACCAATCACAGCACGTCACACGACAGTTGTATACAATGGATGGCTTCATTCATGCCATCCATTGTATACTAGTGCCTAGCTGTGAATGGTCACAGCTAATCACATGCACATGTCATGTGATTAGCTGTGGCCAAATCACATGCACATGTCATGTGATTAGCTGTGGCCAAATCACAGCTAAGCACAAAAAAAAAAAAAAAAAAAACCCTGAATGAATCGATGTCATTCAGGTAAATGCTTGCTTATAGCAAAGTAATTCTTTGCTATAAGCAAATTGTGTAAAAAAAAAGAAAATACTGATCACTTCCCCAAAGTAGTACAATGTTACTATGGTAACATTGTACTACTTTGGACATAGCGAAATATAAAAAACAAAATCTTAAAACAAGAAACAAAATTTAATAAACAATTAAAAATAAAAAAAAAAATTAAAAAATATATGTTTTTTTTTCATACTGTCACCAGTCAGTGTCCCTGATCACTGCCATGCCAGTTATATGATGATGCTGTACTGCACTGGTAACAGTATGTAAAAAAAAAAATAGTGAAAATAATTCTTTTAATTTTTTCATTTTCCGAAAAATTATGACAAAAAAAATACAACTTCAAAAAACTTACCATGCCTCTTATGAAGTACGTCGGACTGTCTACTTTGCAAAAAGGAGTCATTTGGGGAATATCTGTACTGTTCTGACATTCTTGGACCTCAAGAAATTAGATTGGCTGTCAGTACTTCAGGATTGATCAATATTCAGATCTATACCATAGTTTGTGAACTCTATAACTTTCCTACAAACTAAAAAATACATCCTAATTTGGTTTATTTTTCACCAAAGACATGTAGTAGAATACATCTTGGCCTAAATTTATGAAGAACAATTATTTATTTGCAAACTTTTACAACAGAAACAAAGAAAAATTAGGTTTTTTTTTACAATTTTTGGTCTTTTTTTGTTAATTTAGCAAAAAAATAAAAACCCCGGCGGTGATTAAATACCCCCAAAACAAAGCTCTAGTTGTGGGAAGAAAATGATAAAATTTTAGTTTGGGTACAGTGTTGTATGACCGTGCAATTGTCATTCAAAGTGTGAGTGCGCTGAAACCTGAAAAATGGCCTGGGCAGGAAGGGGGTAAAAGTGCCCGGTATGGAAAAGGTTAAAAAGCTAATTATAAATTGAGTGAAGTGGTTGCCATTTTTGTTTCAATAGAACACCATAGACTTCTATGGGGGCAGAAGACAGGTCAATCGCCTGGCCCCATAAAGGTCTATGGGGTAATACTGCACGTGCACAGGAAGCAGATAGTAGAAGATCCACCAACCTCAGATAAACATTGAAGCAGAATGTCAGTGGACTCTGTGCCAAAACTGTGTGACTGCATGTTCGCTCATCTCTAGTTATTATTTTAATACACCCATATTGATAATACATGAAACCAGTTATTATGATTGGCAAGCAAACTCATGTAATAGAGCTCAGAGACAAATGGTATGACGACACTCCTATGTTTGGCTGTTCTACTATTATATTGTTATACAAAAGTGTAAATAACTAATTGTTTCTTAGATGAAAAGTAACATTAGAATTACAGAATAAATTATTGGCACAATAAAATGTTGTATTTAGGTACAATCCAGCCATTCAAAATACAATTTGGCACTAATATATTGTTTGAAGCCTTGCCAGGGTGTGTTTCAGAAATTATGTATGATTACTTCTGCTAAATTTGTTCTCTGTAATAATTAAAAGACTATTTTGCATACTGAAAGAATTGAGTTAATTGATCTCAAACAGTTATTAAGTGATTTACATGCTTATCTTGGACCACCCACTATCTCCATACTCGATGCAATCATACACTATAGAGAATGTTTACAAGACGCTTGTATGGCACAGGAAAAAAAAAAAGCTTTATCAAATTTAGACAAAAAAGTATATTCTGCGTTTTCAAGAAGAAGTAATAAAAGAGGTTATTATATTGTCAATATACTTCTTACATAATGGGATATATTGCAAAATATCATTTAAAAGGCATCTTTCATCAGAACCATTTTGAAGCCATCATAGGTCCATGATGGCTACTTGTTTGGTGACAAATCAGACTGCATATGATTCTCCAAGACTGTCAAACCCTACTAAAAAAGAAATGACTGAACAATAAAGTACAACACAAATGTAGCACACACCGTTGTTTCTTTGCAGGGAGACACAGACCAATGCTTAGATGCGCTGCCTCAGGAGATCCCAATGTGCTGTCGCTCTGCAAAATGCAGTGTGGGTCTCAGTGCTGACTTGCTCCAATCCTTCTCTTCAATGTAATCCTTAAAAAGTAACTGTACTTCATGAGCATTTACAGCATACAACTCTATTTATTATATTTCAAAAAGTGGTAACAGTTGGGGGCATGGCTAGATGTAGAGCCAAGCAGACACTAGCCTGAGAAGCTCCCACCATCCTGATCTATCCTGAGTGGGGCTGTGTAGCGGCTGTTTGCCACAGGAACCCTGCTAAATACTCAGCATAACCATTGGGCTCATCCCTGATGCCATCCCGTCAGAAAGCGTTGGGTACTCTGGTTGGGAAGAACATGCCGCCTCCTCAGGTCACTGGAGCGGACTCCATCTTGGCTGGGAAGCTCCACACACTCCTCCCTGAGCTGGAGATGGCAGATTAGGAGGTGCTGTGCCACTCCCCCCGCAGGGAGATACTGAGAACACTAGCCTCATACTTAGGGCTAAAGAACAATCTAAAACCTCCCTCCTGATCAGAATTGATCGAGTGGCTGAAGAGTCTAACCTCATCCGAAATGAGCTAGACAAGATTAGAGGCCACCTCTCTAACACAGAGGATCAAATCTCTGCCACATCACATCAGACATCACAACACAGCACACTGAACTTTTGCAAACCCTTCAAACTACGGTAAAGCTCCTGGGTGCCAAGGCGGATGATGCAGAGAATACGCTCCACCGCAACAATGTCAGAGTATTGGGCCTATCGGAGGGAGAGGAGGGTGCACAACCTGCTGAATTTGCGGAGACCTTTTTTAAAGATCTCCTACAGTTGAAAGAAGAATCGCCCACACATGTGATTGAACAAGCTCACAGGGTCCCTACAGGAAAAAGAATACCTGGCGCACCCCCATGTCCCTTTCTGGTTTGTTTCCTGAACTACAGGGATGGGGACTGTGTTCTTGGTGAAGCCCGGAAAAACCTTTATTTACCGTATGATAATACTGTGGTTCACCTTTTCGGCTAAAGTGCAGAAGAATGCAAAAATGCGAAAATTCTTCACGGATATTCGTAAGAGACTCCGCGACAAGAATATCCCGACTGCAGGTCCCTCATGAAGGTACGGTTCGATTCTTTGACACCCCTGAAGCTGCGGACTGGTTGGTCAAATTAAGTTGAACGATTATTATTTGCAATGTGTCACCTTTGCTTTTACCTCCCTCTCCCCTCGGGAGACCTGTATCATATTTTTTTCGTCATCTTCCTACCTCAAGTGGCTGCTGATCAAGGGTTCCACGGGGTGGGATCTTTGGTTCTAGCGACTCCCAAGCTGCGGGGTTGTGCATTCTACATGTTACCAGAGACTAGCAGCCTGCTACAGTTATCATTCTTATATTGGGATCATTCATGCCCATCACCCCACGTTTATCTCTTTTGAGGGAGCTTCATCTCCAGGTGGATGTGATGTTGTTATTTTCCCCTCTTCCTCCACTACAAAGAAGATTATCCACGCCGTGGAAGATTTTCGGAGAACCTCCCCACTAGGGGACACTATTTGCAATACGTTTGGGTATTAAACTGTGATAACTAGTTGATGTCATTTGTTCAGCTACACGGTAGGGTGTTTATTTTGTTGAGGGTATTTTTTCTTGTTCACTCTCCTGGTTGTTGGTCGGTTAGTACACACTTTCGGGGGGATTCCATATATTCTTAGCCAAGGGAATGACAACTCTCCATGCTCCCTGATGAGTGGTAGTCCTTCTGGGGTGATTTTACTTTCTCCTTATATTAATCTTTATGATTTTCAATATGGCTCTTAAATTGATATCATGGAAAATACTGTAAGGGGTCTCAATGACAAAATTAAGCATTCTTTAATGTTTAACCACTAGCCTACAGGGCACTTATATACCCTTTGCCCAGGCCAATTTCCAGCTTTCAGCGCTGTCACACTTTGGATGACAATTGCGCTGTCATGCAACACTGTACCCATATGAAATTGTTATCATTTTTTTGAGACAGATGGAGCTTTCTTTTGGTGATATTTAATCACCTCTGGGATTTTTATTTTTTCTTAAACAAACTAAAAACCACTGAAAATTTTGAAAAAAAAAATGTTTTTTTCTTAGTTTTTGTTATAAAATTTTGTAAAGAAGTGATTTTTCTCCTTCACTGAAGTGCGTTAATGAGGCTATAGTGATGGGCATTGATAGGCTGCACTGATGGACACTGATAGGTGGTATTGATCGGCACTGATGAGGAGGCTGGTAGGTGGCACTGATGGGCATTGACAGGCATCACTGATGGGCACTGAAAGGCAGCACTCATATATGGCACTGATAGGCGGCACTGACTGGCACTGTTAGGTGGCACTGACTGGCACTGTTAGGCGGTACTGATGGGGAGCACTGATGTACACTGATAGGCAGCACTGATAGGTGGCACTGACTGGCACTGATGGGTGACACTGAGAGGCAGCTCAGATGGGCACTGATATGTGGCATTGATGTGCACTGGTAGGCACTGAAATGTGGCACTGATGTGGCACTGGCAGGTGGCATGGATGAGCACTGACAGCTGGCACTGATGGACACTGACAGGTGGCACTGCTGGGGCTACACAGATCATCAGGGCACACTGATCATCAGTGCTCTGATGATCTGTGTATATGTCCCCTCCGAGGAATGCCGATTACCGGCTCTCATCACCTCTTGAGCTGTCAGCGTGACAGCTCGTGAGGAGAAAATGCAGATAACAGGCATTTCCCTGTTTATATGTGATCAGCTGTGACCGAGCGGACATCTTCGGCTCTTTCCGTTGATTGGTAATCCACTGTGTCCGAGGGACACAGCGCACCGCCGATCGCCGCGCTGTGCGCTCCCGGAGCCGCACATGCGCGGTTAGAGTGGGAGGACGTCATATGACATCCTCCCAGAACGAGAGAGCCGCCTTGCACCCGTCATTGTACTATATGGCGGGTGGGAGGCGGTAAATATTTACAAATCGCATATCCTATTCCTATAGGAGACCCATCTCACTGGTTCTAAAATACTAGCCCTCTGTAGGGCCTGGGTAAAGCAAGGGTTTCATGCTACTTACTCTGTTTATGCTAGGGGAGCTGCCATTAATTTTACATAAATCCCTACCATACATGGTTTTAAAAGTAATGACTGATCCTGGGGTAGATTTTATTTTGCTGTTGAAACTGTATGATGCTATATGGGCATTTGTGAATGTGTACCTCCTGTGATAATTGTGCGCACAGATATGGACAATGACAACCATAATTTGGATCATACTCTGAAAATGTCATTCTCACTCCAAATCATTCTCTCCCCCTCCTTTTCTTTGAATGGAATGTGGTCTGTGTGTGTGCTGAGTTCAGGAGTGCACCGGGCACAGCTGGATACGCATCATGGTTATAAGCCCAATTAGATGGTTCCATGAAGTCTGCAAGACCCTTGCCTTGGCCCAGTAAAGCATACATCCCACTTGAAACCACTTTTCATACAATTTCATAAATTCCAGCAGGAACAAGGTACAATAAATCAAAGCATATATTCAGATAGATCAGTTTAATACGAGTCACCTGATACCTCACACCCCTAGATAACGTCTACCGGAGAGCAGAAAGCAATATCTATTTAACCGGCACAGCCAGATATGTCATATTTGATGTCTGGACGTTCAGGATATTATTATTATTACAGGTACTTATATAGCGCCGTCAATTTACGCAGCGCTTTGCATATACAATTGTGTTCAAAATAATAGCAGTCAGACATCACTAACTGATCAATCACTGTTTTTGGCAGAAATTATATTTCTACATGGCAAATAATTTACTAGCAGGTGTAGTAGAGTAATAGAAATCCAACAGACCCAACAGTCATAACATGCATGCTGCTGATTCTGTGTAATTGAATCACTAATTGAAAGGGGCATGTTCAAAATAATAGCAGTGTGGAGTTCTATTAGTGAGGTCATTCATTCTTTGAAAAACAGGTGGCAATTATTGCCCTTATTTAAGGAAGGAAGGCAGCAAATGTTGTACATGCTGGTTACAGTGCATTTCTCTCTGAAATTCTGAGGAAAGTGGGTCGTTCAGACATTGTTCAGAACAGTGTACCTTGATTAAAAAGTTGATTGGAGAGGGGAAAACAAATAAAGAAGTGCAGAAAATGATAGGCTGCTCAGCTAAAATGATTGCAAATGCTTTAAAATGGCAACCAAAACCTGAAAGACGTGGAAGAAAGCGAAAAATTACCATTCGAATGGATAGAAGAATAGCCAAAATGGCAAGGACTCAGCCAACAATCAGCTCCAGGAAGATCAAAGAAGGTCTAAAGTTACCTGAGAGTACTGTTACAATTAGAAGACGCCTATGTGAAGCCAAGCTATCTGCAAGAAGCCCCCGCTGTTGAAAAAAAGACGTGCTGAAGAGGTTACAATTTGCCAAAGAGCACATTGACTGGCCTAAAGAGAAATGGCGCAACATTTTGTGGACTGATGAAAGTAAGATTGTTCTTTTTGGGTCTAGTGGCCGGAGACAGTTTGTCAGACGACCCCCAAACACTGAATTCAAGCCACAGTACACTGTGAAGACAGTGAAGCATGGTTGCGCAAGCATCATGATATGGGGATGTTTCTCATACTATGGTGTTGGGCCTATTTATCGCATACCAGGGATCATGGATCAGTTTGTATACATCAGAATACTTGAAGAGGTCATGCTGTCTTAAAAAGGCACCCTTTTGTTTGGACACTTGAACGCTGCTTAAACCAGGACTTCTGCAAGTATTCTACCTTCTTAAACTTCTTTCTTTTATCTCTCTGTTGTGTTATTGCTCTCTCCATTTATATATATAAATTGGTTACATCTTTTCTGTAAATATTTTTATTGCACCCTTTTGACCTTTTTATTAATAAATCCTATTTTATGAAAAGTGTTGAACTGTTTCTAAAGCTCTTTAATGCAAACTAAGAATCCCTGTCTCTGAAGAGTGCTACTGTGTGTTTTAAAATCTCTGGATACATCTGTCTGCAGTGACAGAGTGCATACAGACGCTTATTCAAACATCATAGTGTTACTGCTAAGATTTGTGAGTTTCTTCCTTCTCTGTAAAAAGGTGGTGATGGCAGTGTGAAGGGTTAATTGCGTAATTAACCTGACCCAGTAACAATCGCTCTCAGGCTGTTGGCACCTATATTGGGATCCAGTGAGCTGGAAAATCTTTGTACAGGGTGCAGCTAACAGTGATATTGTTACGCAAGTGGCAGCGCGGTTTTAGATTGGCTAGTCCTTCGGTCACAAGTTGGTGAGAAGGACTGGGGTCTGACGCTGCGCCCGTCACACCTCCCACCTCCTTTTGACTCAAATATTCTGTACCATGTCCAGGAATGTTTAGCCCCCTTTTTACCTCCTAGGGTGATCATAGGAGGGGATTTTAATGCTATCTTGGATGAGGCTCTAGATGCCTCTAATCCTAATAGGAAGACCTCTCAGGATCTGGTGGGCTGGGCAGATGCATTTGGCCTCATTGAAGCCTGGTGCTGGAAACATCAAGAGGCCAAACATTATTCACATCTGTCCACCCCACACAGATCTTGTTCACGTATAGATCTGATCTTCAGATCTTCATCTGTGTTGCCATCTGTGGACTCTTGTGTTCTACTTAATGGCTGGCCTGTCTGATCTTTCCCCTCTTGAACTGGTTCTGGGGGTGGGTGTTGATAAAAATTTGATTACTGGTCATTTAATGAAGGCTTGCTTATGGTTTGGGAGGTGTACAAAACACTGCTAGAGGAGAATATATATCTGCAATTAAAGCAGTGTGTTTGGAGGGCAGCCGCTGCACTACCCAGCTTGAGGACAGGTAGGTTGCAGCTGCGGTTGCTTTTGCCAACTCAGCCACCGTGGACAACTTCTCCTCCCTGGAACAAGCCAGGTGTGATCTTAAGGTGCATCTTACTGATATTGTCCATTCTGACGCCAGAGCCTTAGGAGGTAAACTTTTTGAATCCGGGGATAAAAACGGGAAACTCCTTGCTAACTTGGTTGTGGAGCCTTGTTATCAAACAGTTATCCCTGAGATCTATTCCACTACAGGAGGGTTACTTACCTCTCCTTCAGATATTTTGAAGGAATTTACTACGTATTATACTTCTCTATATGCACGTTTAGAGTCAGTCCCTGGTGCTGTGGCTTCCGAGGTGTTAGCCTGGATTTCGTTGCCCACCTATTCCCCTGAGGATAGCGAGAGTTTGTAGGCCCCTATATCGCCATTAAAAATTAAGGCTGCTATCCATTCCTTCCCAAGTAACAAGACTCCAGAGCTGGATGGTCTTCCGGGGAATGGTATAAAAATCATGGTCCTGAATTGGATACCAAACTTCACGACCTATTTACTGAATGCTTGGAGCAGGGAGCTTTACCACCCTTCCAGGTATCAAAAAATGTAGTTCTGCTCCCAAAGCTAGGTAAAGATATCAGATACTGTGCATCTTATAGGCTCATTTCTCTCCTTAATTAAGATCTCAAAATTCTTGCTAAGGTTCTGGCGGCTAGACTAATAAAGGTCCTCCCATCTCTAATTGACATAGACCAGACGAGCTTCATGCCTGTCAAATCTACTGATATAAATCTGCGTAGGGTGTTTACCCACTTACAACTCCCCAAGGGGGGCCCCGATACCAGAGTCTTGGCGGCACTATATATCGAAAAAGCCTTTGATTTGGTTGGTTGGCTGGCATTACTTGGATCTGGTCCTGGAGGCGTTTGGATTTGGCCCGTCCTTTCACAGATGGTCCAATGTACTGTATAAATCTCCAGTGGCTTGTATTAGGTTGGGGGGAGCTCTGTCTTCTCCCTTCCCTGTTCAGCGCAGCACAAGGCAGGGGTGTCCCCTATCCCTTGCCTTGTTCACATTGGCCATGGAGCCTTTGGCGGCAGCCTTGATACAGTCCGATAATGTGACTGGCATTAAAGTTGGATCAATCACTGAGAAGTTAGCTCTGTATGCTGATGATCTGTTATTATTTCTTAATGACCCCGGGTCCGTCTCTCTCTGCTGCCCTGAAAATCCTGTCTTCATTTGCTAACATCTCTGGTCTACACACTAAGTGGGAAAAAGTCTCAAATTCTTCCTATATACCCTAAAGCGCAGGGGCAGCTGACCTGGCTCATCCGTTAAAATGGGTATCAACGATGCGCTATTTAGGCATTGTTATTTCTACTAGGGTGTGTTACTATTGCCTACTTAATTTACTCCCGCTGGTTCAGACCATTAGGCAGAGGCTGAAGGCATAGACTAATCTTCCACTAAATGTTATTGTCAAGATCAATTTGATCAAAAAGAAAGTGCTTCTCGTGCTCTTATATGTGCTCAGACACTCCCTGGTATGGATACCAAAAAAGTTGCTTAATCAATTGCACTACCTTATTGGTTCCTTCCTTTGGCAGTCCCATCCACCAAAATTTAGCAAACAAATTCTTCGTAGGCCATGGACTGAAGGTGGCTTGGCATGTATGGATTTTTACATGTACTTTTTAGCCGCTCTACTTACTCATTATTATTATTATACAGGATTTATATAGCACCAACGGTTTGCTCAGCGCTTTACATTATAGTGGGAGACAATACAGTTCAATACAAGAGGGATTTGAGGGCCCTGCTCCTTGGAGCTTACAATCTAGGAGGGAGGGGTGAATGGTACAATAGGTAATAACTGTGGGGGATGGAGTGGTTGGAAGAGTAGAGGATTCCAGTATTAGCAGAGGGTGGGATAGGCTTCCCTGAAGA